TCGTGTATTGATCACCAATGATAAATCCGTTTTAGAATTTCATAGAAATGGAGTGGTACAGTATGCACTCTTTTTTTCTCTCCAGCTTCTTCCACTTCACATAATGTTTTGGAAATTCATCTGTGTTGCTGCATCTGTCAGTACTTGGTTCTCATTCTGCTCAATGACGTGTCATTCAATGAATATGTCACATTTTGTTTTTTTAGTTTTCTGTTGATACGCTCTTGGGGCAGTTTTCATTTTGGGGCTATTGTGAATAAAGCTACTGTGAACACTCTGGTACAGGTCATCATGCATTCATTTCTCTTGGGGAAAATTCCTAGGTTCAGTATCGCTGAATAGAGAGGAGCTTATGTTTCTTAGTATAGGGCAGTTTCTTTCTTTCTTTCTTTCTCTTTTGAGACAGGATCTCACTCTGTCACCCAGGCTGGAGTACAGTCGTGCGATCATAGCTCACTGCAGCCCTGAGCTTCTGGACATAAACCATCCTCCAGCCTCAGCCTCCCGAGTAACTGGGAATACAGGCGTGTGCCACTGCATCTGGCTAATTTTTTTTTTTCAGTGAGAGACAAGGTCTCTTGCTATGTTACCCAGGTTGGTCTTGAACTCCTGGGCTCAAGTGATTCTCCCACCTCGGCCTCCCAGAGTGCTGGGATTACACTTGTGAGCCACGCTGTCAGTCTAGGGCAGGTTCTATTAATATGTTCCTTAGAAACTGCCAAGTAATTTTCTAAAGGGCCTGTCCTGTTTTCTTTTCCCGTGAGCAATGTATAAGATTTCTGTTCCTCTGCATCCTTGACAACACTTCATACTGTCAGTCATGTTAATTGTAGCCATTTCGGTGAATATGTCTCATTGTGGTTTTCATTTGCTTTTCCTCATAACTTGTTTTAGTGAGCCTGACATTGTGAACATTTTCCAATAACTTAAGATGTTGAGTACCCTTTGTATGCTTTTTTTTTTTTTTTTTTTTTTGGCCATTCAGCCACCCGCTTTGTAAAGTATTCCTGCTTTTTCTTTGATCACCGTACACCCATATTGCTATTTAACTGACTTTTGTGGTTTCATTGCCGTTTGCTGTTAAAACTCACTGACCTATGTGTAATCTGTGAATGTGAAAATGAGTTTAAGCATAGATAGCTTTATTAGAATTCTGAGAAGCCAGATGATATTGGGAATCCAGAATTGAATGTTCATATTACAGATTTTTGCTTCTTACAAAATGTCAGCTGAAAGATGGAACTTTTGTATTAAAACATCATCCAGTTAGTTGTCCAATTAACTGAAATTATATTTTAATATGTTAAATAATTCGTTCATCTATTGAAGTTATATTACATCAAAAAGTAGTATGACCTTGTGGATCTGTTGTCAAGTTCTTTCATGTTTGTTGCTTTCATAGGCGTTTTCTCAAGTTTTCTTGGAAAATGTTGGCTTTTGAATTTTTTGCCTTATTCTTTTGCTATATCATTCACTGAGTCTTCTCTATTTCTTTATACTCTGTTGAAATTACATTCTTTGTGGCTTAAAGAGAATCTTCCAGTTAACACTAGAATAGAACAGCTTTGGTGAAAGGTAACACTGTATATTTTGACAGCTATGAATTGCTTGTAATAGCATTTAGTTTATTTATTGCTTTAGCAGCCAGTGTTGTGATCTGTGCCTTTGTCATGAAGGCAAAGGATCATATTCAGTTGTAAACACTCCTCTGTATAAGATTTCTCTGGTGGTTATGTTAGATAACATGGAAATCCCTACCCCTCCAAAATCTGCAGACTTCAGAGCACACCTTTCTCCAAAGGGAAACCCTGCTGTTGAACAGTGAACATGCTGGTTAAAAGAATGCTGGTCCCTGTGGCTCAGCACAACAGGTGTCTGCCTCACAGGAAATACTTGCCTTTTAGGCATCTTTCAACATGCCATTGTTAAAATCCTGTTTCTTCAAGTTTTACAATTCATATATGTCGTAATTTGAACAACTCAGCCTTGATGCTCATTAGGTCATCTATCATCTGTATTTTATACATTCATTCCTTAGGACTTCTATTATATATAATTTATATATTACATAACATATAACATGTAATACATGAATAATAGTAGACCTTGTATCTTCAGGGAAAAGAGTATCTTCTTTTACTCAAAGGCTGGGAGAATGTTACATCCATTATTACATAGTTTACCATTCTCAAAAGAATGGGGCTTCTGTATTTAAAAATATCTTTACATTTTGTTTTATTCTTTGTTAGAGATAGATTCTCACTCTGTCACCCAGGCTGGAGTGCAGTGGCATGATCATAGCTCACTGGAGCCTTGAGCTCCTGGGCTCAAGTGATTCTCCCATCTCAGTCTCCCAAGTAGCCAGGACGACCTGTGTGTGCCACCACACTCAGCTAATTTTTAGATTTTTTGTAGAGTCATCTCCCTGTGTTGCCCACACTGGTCTCAAACTCCTGGCCTCAAGCAGGCCTCCTGTGTCGACTTCCCAAAGTGCTGGGATTACAGGCGTGAGCCACCGTGCACAGCCTTGTATTTTAATGTTTTATTCTTTAAGTCACAGAAAAGTATGTGTGGTATTGACTGTTTACATTTCCGACCATATGAAAAATGTCTATTCAATCTTACGAGGTGGTTAGAGGGGCCTTTTTTCACTCGCTCTTGTTCAGATGTTTTGGCATGAGGATAAAATCTGCCGTTAATGTGTGTGCAGTTCTTAGTGACCCAGTTTTATTCTGAAATTAAAGACAGACCTGTGTTCAAGGTGGTGTCGTATAGTTGTTACAGCTACACTTTTAGGATTTCACTTAAAGGAAACCTTTTCTTTTAATTTGATTATTGGTGGTTGTTTTTTTTCGTATTTGGCAGTATCACTTTGATGGAGATGCTGTTCTTCAGAATGAGGAAATATTAAGTGCTGTCTTTGTCTTAGCTTTCTAGGACTTCACATATTTTGAAATCCATGAGTATCATTGAATAGATGTACTTGTGTGGTAGCTCATTGTGATGGTTTTATTAGGGTTGATTACAATGCAGTGTACCATCAGCCTTGTCACTTTTTTTGTAAGACTAAACAGAACTCTAGTAACTTGTCAAATTTTGAATACAAGTAATAAGAAAAAATTACCCTTTTAAAAATTAAATATTGGGCCGGGCGTGGTCACTCACACCTATAATCCCAGCACTTTGGGAGGCTGAGGCTGGTGGATCACCTGAGGTCAGGAGTTCCAGACCAGCCTAGCCAACATGGTGAAACCCCATCTCTACTAAAAATACAAAAATTAGCCAAGCGTAGTAGCATGTACCTATAGTCCCAGCTACGTGGGCAGCTGAGGCAGGAGGATCATTTGAACCCGGGAGGTGAAAGTTACAGTGAGCTGAGAACACCCCACTGTACTCCAGCCTGGGTGACAGAGTGAGACTCCATTTCAATAAATAAATCAATAAAAATTTAAAAATTGGCCGGGCATGGTGGCTCACGCCTGTAATCCCAGCACTTTGGGAGGCTGAGGCAGGCGGATCACAAGGTCAGGAGATCGAGACCATCCTGGCTAACATGGTGAAACCCCATCTCTACTAAAAATACAAAAAAACTAGC